AGTTGAGGCGGGACAAACGAGCCAAAGCTCATCCCAAGTAATCACAACTAGGTGAGTACACGTATCCCTAGGATACAACCCGTACCAGCTGTCTAATTCCCAGGTACCTATATACCTATAGGTGAACAGGCGTATCAGGGTGACAGAAACTGCGCATTTTATTCCGCCTCGGCCGGGACTCGAACCCGGGCCCTTGGGACTACGACCCCCCGAGAGCTGTCCACTCCGCGAGGAACAGCATGTGTGTGTGTGTACTCACCTAGTTGTGCTTGCGGGGGTTGAGCTCTGGCTCTTTTGGCCCGCCTCTCAACTGTCAATCAACTGTTACTAAGTACTAACTAATTTTTTTGTCACACACACACACACACACAGGAAGCAGCTCCGTGACAGTTGTCTAACTCCCAGGTACCTATTTACTGCTAGGTAACAGGGGCATCAGGGTGATAGAAACTCTGCCCATTTTGTTTTTTCACCGGCGCCGGGAATCGAACCCGCGCCACAGGATTACGTGACCAGCGCGCTGTCCACACAGCCACCGGCGCCCGGTGTGTGTGTACTCACCTATTTGTACTCACCTATTTGTGCTTAGGGGGGTTGAGCTTTTGCTCTTTGGTCCCGCCTCTCAACTGTCAATCAACTGGTGTACAGATTCCTGAGCCTACTGGGCTTCATCATATCTACGCACACACACACACGTGTGTGTGTGTGTGTGTGTGTGTGTGTGTGTGTGCGTGTGTGTGTGTGTGTGTGTAATAGAGGTAATAGCACCCAGTGACTGTTAGGCGCCAAGGAGAGTCAGCTGACTGTGACGTCATCGCGCGCCACATTCAAACTTGCGCGCCAGTTTCCAGACCCCGCTTGTTGACACCCTTGAGTTCTCCCCTCTACCATACTTCACGAGTATATCCTCCTCCCCCATGTCTATTACAGACATTGATGAGATAGAGGAAGGTCCGGCGGCCAGCGAGGAACCACACACGCAGCCGAGAGACGGAACAACATCGTCTTGCACAAAATATATATGAAACTGGTGTCAGCCAGTTGCTCAAGAGGGGTGTTCTACTTTCTCACATTCATACTGCTTAATATCTCCGTGACGGGCAATAACACAAGCTTCACGCTACCAGGAGCTGGCCACCACTGTCAGCTACCAGGACCTGGCCACCACTGTCAGCTACCAGGAGCTGGCCATCACTGTCAGCTACCAGGACCTGGCCACCACTGTCAGCTACCAGGACCTGGCCACCACTGTCAGCTACCAGGACCTGGCCACCACTGTCAGCTACCAGGACCTGGCCACCACTGTCAGCTACCAGGACCTGGCCATCACTGTCAGCTACCAGGACCTGGCCACCACTGTCAGCTACCAGGAGCTGGCCACCACTGTCAGCTACCAGGAGCTGGCCACCACTGTCAGCTACCAGGACCTGGCCACCACTGTCAGCTACCAGGACCTGGCCACCACTGTCAGCTACCAGGACCTGGCCATCACTGTCAGCTACCAGGACCTGGCCACCACTGTCAGCTACCAGGAGCTGGCCACCACTGTCAGCTACCAGGACCTGGCCACCACTGTCAGCTACCAGGAGCTGGCCATCACTGTCAGCTACCAGGACCTGGCCACCACTGTCAGCTACCAGGACCTGGCCATCACTGTCAGCTACCAGGACCTGGCCACCACTGTCAGCTACCAGGACCTGGCCACCACTGTCAGCTACCAGGAGCTGGCCACCACTGTCAGCTACCAGGAGCTGGCCACCACTCTCAGCTACCAGGACCTGGCCACCACTGTCAGCTACCAGGAGCTGGCCACCACTGTCAGCTACCAGGACCTGGCCACCACTGTCAGCTACCAGGAGCTGGCCACCACTCTCAGCTACCAGGACCTGGCCACCACTGTCAGCTACCAGGACCTGGCCACCACTGTCAGCTACCAGGAGCTGGCCACCACTGTCAGCTACCAGGAGCTGGCCACCACTCTCAGCTACCAGGACCTGGCCACCACTGTCAGCTACCAGGAGCTGGCCATCACTGTCAGCTACCAGGAGCTGGCCATCACTGTCAGCTACCAGGACCTGGCCACCACTGTCAGCTACCAGGACCTGGCCACCACTGTCAGCTACCAGGACCTGGCCACCACTGTCAGCTACCAGGAGCTGGCCACCACTGTCAGCTACCAGGAGCTGGCCACCACTGTCAGCTACCAGGACCTGGCCACCACTGTCAGCTACCAGGAGCTTGCCATCACTGTCAGCTACCAGGACCTGGCCACCACTGTCAGCTACCAGGAGCTGGCCACCACTGTCAGCTACCAGGAGCTGGCCACCACTGTCAGCTACCAGGAGCTGGCCACCACTCTCAGCTACCAGGACCTGGCCACCACTGTCAGCTACCAGGAGCTGGCCATCACTGTCAGCTACCAGGACCTGGCCACCACTGTCAGCTACCAGGACCTGGCCACCACTGTCAGCTACCAGGAGCTGGCCATCACTGTCAGCTACCAGGACCTGGCCACCACTGTCAGCTACCAGGACCTGGCCGTCACTGTCAGCTACCAGGAGCTGGCCACCACTGTCAGCTACCAGGAGCTGGCCGTCACTGTCAGCTACCAGGAGCTGGCCACCACTCTCAGCTACCAGGAGCTGGCCATCACTGTCAGCTACCAGGACCTGGCCACCACTGTCAGCTACCAGGAGCTGGCCACCACTGTCAGCTACCAGGAGCTGGCCACCACTGTCAGCTACCAGGAGCTGGCCACCACTCTCAGCTACCAGGACCTGGCCACCACTGTCAGCTACCAGGACCTGGCCACCACTCTCAGCTACCAGGAGCTGGCCACCACTGTCAGCTACCAGGAGCTGGCCACCACTGTCAGCTACCAGGAGCTGGCCACCACTGTCAGCTACCAGGAGCTGGCCACCACTGTCAGCTACCAGGAGCAGGTCACCACTGTCAGCTACCAGGACCTGGCCACCACTGTCAGCTACCAGGAGCTGGCCACCACTGTCAGCTACCAGGACCTGGCCACCACTGTCAGCTACCAGGACCTGACCACCACTGTCAGCTACCAGGAGCTGGCCACCACTGTCAGCTACCAGGAGCAGGTCACCACTGTCAGCTACCAGGACCTGGCCACCACTGTCAGCTACCAGGAGCAGGTCACCACTGTCAGCTACCAGGAGCAGGTCACCACTGTCGAGAGAGAGAGAGAGAGAGAGAGAGAGAGAGAGAGAGAGAGAGAGAGAGAGAGAGAGAGAGAGAGAGAGAGAGAGAGAGAGAGAGAGAGAGAGAGAGAGAGAGAGAAAGAAAATAGGAGCCAATCAGACAAGTGGAACAACTAGGCCGACTGTTAGTTGCTTCCCTTTCTCACCCACACTGGCCACACCACCCCCGGCCACACCCACACTGGCCACACCCACACTGGCCACACCCACACTGGCCACGTGCCACATCAACAACAAAACAGTAGCCATGGAGGGGCTGTGGTAGGTACCGTGAGTGTTGCGGGCAGTGTTGTGGTGGACCAGTGTTGCTGCACCACTTGTGGGGGCCCCTGGGGCGGGGGGGGGGGGCGAGGGTGCTCTACTTCTACAGTAGAGTCCGGCGTGACACAGGTAAACTAGAGGGGGGTGTGGTGGAACACTCTCCCAGGTAAACTGGGGCCACATCACCGCCCTCCACCACCTCTCCTGTAATACACTAGCTACACCCTCCACACACTCGACCCACTGTACACTTACGACCCACAGTACACTTACGACCCACAGTACACTTACGACCCACAGTACACTAAGAGTGTCCTGGATGGTGACTTACAATATTCCCGGCCACCATCTGTATCCTGGGGGACCATGTATATCTCTGGACACCATGCATCTTCCCAGATACCGTGTATAACCTTAAACACTATGTATACCTTCGGGTACTATGTATATACTCTTGCAGACCTTCATACTATGTGTTCTCGTGTAGATCTCTGATCAACCCATATATATCCACATTCTAATACACATAATTTACCAATAGGAATAAAGCACCACCCATATAAACATAGCACTACCTATATAAACACAGGACCACCCATATAAACACAGCAGCGCCCATATAAACACAGCAGCGCCCATATAAACACAGCAGCGCCCATATACCCAGGACTGTGAAGCATATAATCGTGTATGATGACTGTAAAGTCATATAATATTGAGGTGTATGGTGCCCAGGTGCCAAGAATGAGTGGCACCATAACCTCTGTTATATGGTGCCACTATAACCTCTGTTATATGGTTATATATGGGTATGGTGTTAGTAACTGGCTCTCTCACTATTACATTTGGCCTTATACTCTTATACTATCTCCCTACCAACATTATTACCGTTGAGTCTTACTATCATAGCAATGTTGAAGTCTACAGTCCTCTACAGGGAGTCTACAGTACTCTATAGGGAGTCTACCGTCCTCTACAGGGAGTCTACAGTACTCTATAGGGAGTCTACCGTCCTCTACAGGGAGTCTACAGTACTCTACAGGGAGTCTACCGTCCTCTACAGGAAGTCTACAGTCCTCTACAGGGAGTCTACCGTCCTCTACAGGAAGTCTACAGTCCTCTACAGGGAGTCTACAGTCTACACGGTCCTCTACATGGAGTCTACAGTCCTCTACAGGGAGACTCCAAGACCTCACCTATAGTGGCTGTTCTACAAGTTATATAATATTTAACGCAGACTACACCTTCACCCTCAACTCTCTACTGACTGTGAACATGACTCAACATGACTCCTGACAGTGAACATGACTCCTGACAGTGAACATGACTCCTGACAGTGAACATGACTCCTGACAGTGAACATAACACCATCACAATAAAAACTATGTTCTGAACATGTTCCCCTGTCTGGGAAAATTACTAGACAGTAAATGACGACATGACAGAATATCCCGGTCTGAGAGTGAACATGAGTGAACATGACGGTGAACAAGACAAAGAAAACATCATTCTGACCTTCTTTCTATCCTTGGGCGGCGTGGAGGCGTCGGTGATAGGCGAGGAGTTGGTATCTGGCGTGGGCGGACTTATGTGGGCGTTGTGAGCAACGTGGGCGGCATGGGCGGCGTTCTTCATGACAGTGGCGGCGAGGGTGATGGGCGTGAGGAGCCCCGGCATGGGCGTGACCAACCCCGGGGGCGTGGGCAGGGGCTTCATCTTGGGCAAGATCCTGGGCAGATCATCCAGAGATTTGAACTTCTTAGCCGGGGGCGTGGGCGACTCTGTACTGGTGACCGTGGGCATGATGGGCGCGCCGATGGCCGTGCTGCCGATAGTGGGCGTGGTGGTGTTGATGGGCGGCGGCTGGTGGTGGTGCTGCTGAAGCCCCGGCGAGCAGAACTTCCGCTCCATAGCTTCTAGAATCTTCGAAGTCTCCTTATGTCTCTCAGAGGAGTCGGAGAGTCCTTTAATCTGGAGACTTTCAGCCGTCTTGAGGAAGGAGGAAAGGTCGTGCTGGTGGACGTTAATCTCTCCTCGGTACATGAAGGAGAGGAGAGCCTCTAGGTCCCCGGCCCTCACGTCCCTCATGAAGATAATGGGGTGCTTGCAGGGGTTGCCCAGGAAGAGCGCCTGGAAGTATGGGCTGCAGGCTGAGAGGATGACCTTGTGGGCGGCGAAGGTGCGGCCGTCGCAGGCGAGGGTGACGTCGGTGAAGGCCTCCTGCTCGTACAGCTGGTCGAACACCGTCACCAGGTTGCTCTGGTGGTTGTTCCACTTGAGGAGGAAGCGTTCAGCCTCCATCCTGCCGCTCCCCACCGGCCCCGTGGCTGCTCCTGTAACACAACCAACACTATCAACACATCACTATCAACATCTCTCTTCTCACCGACACATAATCATCCAATATCAATTAAATATATATATATATATATATATATATATAAATATATATATATATATATATATATATGTCGTACCTAGTAGCCAGAATACACTTCTCGGCCTACTATGCAAGGCCCGATTTGTCTAATAGGCGGAGTGATTTTCTTCAGTTTCAATAAATTGTTTCTAATTAGTTTATTTGAATCATTAATATTATATTATGTCAGGAACATAAATTATTGACTTAATTATGTTAGTTTAGGTAAGGTTAAGATAGGTTAGGTTAGGTAGGTTAGGTTAAGATAGGTTAGGTTAGGTAGGTTAGGTTCGGTCATATATCTATGCTAGTTTTAACTCGAATAAAGAACAATTTACTCATACATAGTGAAATGAATAGCTTTATCATTTCATAAGATAAAATGAAAAATATACGAATTCAGGAAAACTTGGCTTATTAGGCAAATCGGGCCTTGCATAGTAGGTCGAGTACGACGTTTTGGTTACTAGGTAGAACATATGTATGTGTGTGTGTGTGTATATATATATATATATATATATATATATATATATATATATATATATATATATATATATATATATATATATATATGAGAGAGAGAGATAATGAGAGAGGACAAATATAAATGATATATTACAAATGTTGTAGTGGCTGAGCCACATTAAAGAGGAGTGTAAGTGTATAAGAGAAGTGGTGAAGGTGTAGATGAGCCAGGCGGCACATCTCAACACATCATCTTACCCAGAGTGCACCACATCACCTCCATCCTTCACCACACCACACGCTCTTCTCTCAGTCTCCTCGGCCCCCAAGCACCACCTCAAGGGGCTCGACCCTGTCTCCTCACCACCTTAAGCTTTCCAACTGCTTGACGAGCCGAGTTTGAACGGCCATAAATCTCCCCCAAAGCTTGGAGATTTCTGAATGGACCCGAATATATACAAAATCACGTGACTGCACTCTTTAAGTCGGTCAGTGACAGGCAACCTTAAACTGGAAGTGAATTTAAATATCTTTCAGTTGGAGAACTGGAGGTCCCCAAAGATAGGACGCCCCTTAACTGTGGGGTATCCAGAGCCACTCCTGGTGGAACCACCTCACCCGCCCGACTGCACCACCACAGTCTATGCTCTTCAGATATACCAGGCACGGAGGTCTGCCCACAGGGACATGCTTGTGGTTCCTTACAAGGAAACTCGAGCAAAAATTACTCTGGGTGTAAATACAGACTACACAATGGTCTCATATGCGGCGTCCTCAATAGCGACAACCACGTGGGAGGATAAATGAAGCCAAGTATCCTTCACAAGAGTGTAGGAAAGTGTAGTGTAGGAAGACTTTCAGCGCCGTGGAGAAGGGGGGGGGGGGTACCTGCTGCCTGGGTAACAGCTTCTCCCCCGAATCAACCTACCTTAGCTTTGCGCCCTGGTGAGGCCACTCCAGACCGACAACCAGAGCGCAACTCCATAGTCTCCTGAGACTGATGGATGCCTACTACTAGGGAAGTCTATACTTGTCACAGTTTCCCCATCATGTGTTGCTGGACGTTTAGCAAGATAACCTGGTCTTCGCTTCAATAACAGCTCCACTTCTCTGGTGGCAGCACTGGGAGCGTGTGTTGACCTGCCGTAGACTTGCATGCAATAAAACTTGGGTGTGAGGTGAGAGTTAACAAGGTGATGACACGTGTGTGATCCCTGTGTAGAGAAGATGATGTCACTCAGGCTATCCCCTGTGAAGTTACAGCTCCGCTCCTGTGCCAGGTAAGTCCACCACGGGGTCACCATAGCCCGTGCTACTTGCAACTTTTGGTTCCCGGTAGCTGAATCTTAAACAACAACTGAATCTTGTCTTGTCCCAAGTATTCCAGCGCCGCTATTGCTGCTTTACTCTACACTTGTACAATATTGTCAACTCGAAATTATAAATTACATATATGTGATAAAATCCAAAACCAAATAATGAAGCAATTTTGCTGCACTTGTGATGAGGGAGAAGTGCTATATGGTCATATCTGACTGACTGACTTCTCATAAGATATTTAAACCTTATAAGGCAGCTTAAGTGCACAAGTTTGTCAGCTCGCAAACACCGGTGTGTAACGTTAGCTTACTGGAGATGCGGAGGACTTAATTACTCCTTAACTGTGTCGAGTTTTACGATATCCGTCGCGGCTGACGCCTGTACTCACCTAATTGTGTCTGCAGGATCGACCATTGACTCTTGGATCCCGCCTTTCGAGCATCGGTTGTTTACAGCAATGACTATGGTTCTATTTCCCTATCATATCTAGTTTTAAAATTATGAATAGTATTTGCTTCCACAATCTGCTCCTTAAGTGCATTCCATTTTCCCACTACTCTCACGCTAAAAGAAAACTTCCTAACATCTCTGTGACTCATCTGAGTTTCCAGCTTCCACCCATGTCCCCTCGTTCTGTTACTATTCCGTGTGAACATTTCGTCTATGTCCACTCTGTCAATCCCCCTGAGTATTTTATACGTTCCTATCATGTCACCCCTCTCTCTTCTTCTTTCTAGTGTCGTAAGGCACAGTTCCCTCAGGTGCTCCTCATACCCCATCCGTCTTAACTCTGGGACGAGTCTCGTTGCAAACCTCTGAACCTTTTCCAGTTTCCTTATATGCTTCTTCAGATGGGGACTCCATGATGAGGCGGCATACTCTAAGACTGGCCTTACGTAGGCAGTGTAAAGCGCCCTAAGTGCCTCCTTACTTAGGTTTCTGAATGATGTTCTAAGTTTGGTCAGCGTAGAGTACGCTGCTGTCGTTATCTTATTTATATGTGCCTCAGGAGATAGATTGGGTGTTACGTCCATGCCCAGGTCTCTTTCTCGCGTCGTCACAGGTAGGCTGTTCCCCTTCATTGTGTACTGTCCCTTTGGTCTCCTATCTCCTTGTCCCATTTCCATAACTTTACATTTGCTCGTGTTGAACTCCAGGAGCCATTCCTCTGACCACCTCTGCAACCTGTTCAGGTCCTCTTGGAAGATCCTGCAATCCTCATCTGTCACAACTCTTCTCATCAACTTTGCGTCATCCGCAAACATCGGCATGTGGGACTCTACGCCTGTAAACATGTCGTTAACATATACTATAAATAGAATTGGTCCCAGCACCGATCCTTGTGGTACTCCACTCGCTACTGTTCGCGAGTCCGACTTCTCGCTTCCTTCTCCGACTGAAGGATGCGGGGTGTTTAGGAGCCAAGAAGAGAGAGAGAGAGAGAGAGAGAGAGAGAGAGAGAGAGAGAGAGAGAGAGAGAGAGAGAGAGAGAGAGAGAGAGAGAGAGAGAGAGAGAGAGAGAGAGAGAGAGAGAGAGAGAGAGAGAGAGAGAGAACTCTCTAAGACCCCCACCCCTTCCCTCCCTCCTCTTCCTTCCTTCTAGGTACCCCTCTCGTCATTCACGGCCTCAGAACTTAGGAAAAAATGTTCGACCTTGTTGGAGACTTACTTCCCGCCACACTGACACACGTGCGCCACCATCTAAGACGAGTCCTGCACAAGGAGGATCCGAGATACAGCTGGTGGAAGCAACAGACAATCTACCCAAGACAATATGTCCCGGAGGACAAGGAGGTGCATATAGAGGTAGATATATAGAGGCAAGATATATAATGAGTCACAATAACGTGGCTGGAGTATGTTGACCAGACCACACACTAGAAGATGAAGGGACGACGACGTTTCAGTATTGACTTGGGAATGGTCCAGGACGGACCGAAACGTCGTCGTCCCTTCACCTTCTAGTGTGTGGTCTGGTCAACATATATACATATATATATATATATATATATATCTTGCAAACATTGTGTTACAGTCTTACAATCACTCACCATCCCGCTACTGCTGGTGTATAGCAGTGTAAATCAACCTTATACCTTTGGCATAGAGTAACATTTAACTTACAATCTGAATGTCGATATATGTCACTTCCTCAAGAACAAGAGATATACATAATTATCTATATCTACTAACCTCTGGAGGGATTGGCTTTAAATAGTCATACTTGAATAACACCTTACAAACCCCGGAAGATAACGAAGTCCATAAGGAAAGTTGGAAGGCAGGTGTGTGGCCTCCAGGAGGTAAATAAAGGCAGGTGTGTGGCCTCCAGGAGGTAAATAAAGGCAGGTGTGGCCTCCAGGAGGTAAATAAAGGCAGGTGTGGCCTCCAGGAAGTAAATAAAGGCAGATGTGGCCTCCAAGAGGTAAATAAAGGCAGGTGTGGCCTCCAGGAGGTAAATAAAGGCAGGTGTGTGGTCTCCATGAGGTAAATAAAGGCATGTGTGTGGCCTCCAGGAGGTAAATAAAGGCAGGTGTGGCCTCCAGGAGGTAAATAAAGGCAGGTGTGGCCTCCAGGAGGTAAATAAAGGCAGGTGTGTGGTCTCCAGGAGGTAAATAAAGGCAGGTGTGTGGCCTCCAGGAGGTAAATAAAGGCAGGTGTGTGGCCTCCAGGAGGTAAATAAAGGCAGGTGTGTGGCCTCCAGGAGGTAAATAAAGGCAGGTGTGTGGCCTCCAGGAGGTAAATAAAGGCAGGTGTGTGGCCTCCAGGAGGTAAATAAAGGCAGGTGTGGCCTCCAGGAGGTAAATAAAGGCATGTGTGTGGCCTCCAAGAGGTAAATAAAGGCAGATGTGGCCTCCAGGAGGTAAATAAAGATAGGGAAACTTCTGACTTTAAAACACAGAAATATTTGGCGACTTGCCCATAGAGTTTCTGTGTCCAAGAGAGGGAACATGATATAGAAGAGCTGTGTACTTCATAACTCAGACTCTCATCTCTAAGTTGGTCACTGCTGAAATCTCTACACCGATAGTGTAATCCCTGTATTAGGAGTAATCCCTGCGACTGTTACTATACGGGGATTTACTGGTGTAATCTCTGCATCGCTTGGGTAATCCCTTCATAGCTTTG